GGCTCGTAAGGCACCGTCGACAGGGGCTACAGGCAAGCCCCCTACTCGTGCATGCGGTACAGCATAACTACAGAAGTGCGCGGCGTGAATCAGCCACCTGGTATACCTGATAGGCCATTTTTCGACCTGTACGGAGAGTTCATCGATGGCCGCAGGATCCATGACAGGGATATTAATATCGGCACGGCCTGACTTCATTGCAGATCTGAAAAGTTCGCTGATTTCTTGCAGTTGGGCTGTGAGGTCGGCGGCAGTCTTGCCCGCTAGGCCGTCAATGTATGCATTGAACAGATTCTTGACGACATTTTCAAGCCGTGCGTTTATCTTGGGACGATCGTTCTGTGGAAGCAGAGTCAATATAATGGTTGGATCTCTGTCCTATACGGGTATACATTTGGACGCATTCGTGCAACAATTTGGATCAAAAAGAAATCGCTCAACAGACGCACATAACGATCGCTCAACAACGTCAGCATGTCGCCTGATACAATAACTAGTAATTTACATAGCTACAAGTTTCTGTATGATTACAATAACAACGCCTAATGAATACTAAGATGTATCTAAAGTAAAGTAGCTATGTTAAGATAATATCAAGAAGCATATCCGTCTTGAGCGACCGTCGACCGTTTTCTGATTCTTTGTCTTTCTTGAGCGTGTTTTTTTCAAATCTGTACTTGTTCCACAGTTTTATTGCTCTGGTATCGCTACGCTCACAATACTTCACATTTTACTAAGATCCAGAATTCTGCCCCCCTCGAAAAAAAACCAAAAAACACACACACACACACACACAGAGCAAGAAAAAGGACAAAACAAATTTCCCATCTTCTCGTTTTTCAACTATGTGATTTTTTCCGAGTTCTTCAATTGTGACGTTTCTAAAACCACCAGGTCCATCACTAGTGGCTCTTTTTTAGTGTAATTAGCATTTTTTTGACAGTAGCAGACTTAACCGTTGCAGCACAATCATGCACACCGAAAAGGATTGCATCGTCCCGTTGGCGGTAAAGATGGGCACGTTTCTGAAGGCTGCACGCACTGGCGTCAACGCCAAAACTAGTGACCATCCATACTCAATATAACTAACAACCGAACGAGCAGGGCATCGATCCTTAACTTTCGTCACATTAAATTACAGGAATAGTCCCGGTAACAATCATTTAAAAGATTTCTACGAAAACTACGAATCTTTGTGACGTTACTCTTGTAACGTTACACATTTTGGAACGGAACACGAAGTGTTTGTTGTGGAGGGGTTTTGCCAAAACGTACTCCAATAGCTTGGTTTTAAAGTGCTGGAGCACCTAATGACCGGCAGCGGACCACATCCTCTCGTACAAGATCCGCCAAATCGTCTGACAAATTATCCAACAAAGCATGAGGCCATACCTAAAGTGCCGGAGTTTAGATACCAACAAAGAGCCACAGCAATGAAACACAATTAGAGACCCGTGATGGGGATTTTTTTACAGTAACAGTATACTGCTACGTAACGCATCAGAATTGTCAAAAACGTTTCTATTATGTCCCAAATAAGCAATCGAATAAACTTGACGTTTCGCTTCGCTCCTATTGCCGAAACTTTTCGGTATACTGTTTTTCTTTCAACGTTACACCGTGAAGTTACGATCGCCTGCGAATGAGCCGGATGCGACGATCGTTTATGTCAAGTACGTGTTACTCGCGGGGTTGACCATCACAGTGTTTAAGACTGTGGATGGTGAATTCAATTTAACTTCCTGCACTAAGATTCCAAAAAGGTGAAGTCTCTATATTTATGAATGGAGTGAAACAAACGACCGTCTACATATACGAAAGTTTTATCGCCTCGTTGGGTCTCAAAGACTATACAGACAGACTTATTGCAAGGTAGAAATAATCTAGCGTGGACTTCATACTTCTTATAATTACCTCGACCAATACAGGGAGTATCTTGTTCAGAAGATCGTTCGCCTTTCTGCCCCAAAATCCCCCGCCGAGCAGATTGTCTAGCTGAATCTATTAAAGAAATATGCGTTTTAGTGCAGACAAATTTAATGTTTACTAACTGAAGTGAACCATAGCACACCCTCCAAGAGCAAATTACCTTTATGGTGTTGAACGACCACGAGTCCATTGTCACGCTCTTAATATTGTAGCTGCCGTCGCTGTTGTTAATGACTTCAATTGTCGCAGAAAGGTTGAGGTCTGTGATATTAAGTCTAAAACGTTTGTTAAAATCAAAAACATTATCATTATCTGTTTAACTGTCTGTACTTGTACAGAATTATCAGCAAAGCAACTTACTGGAGAGGGCCATTGTCGTTTACAGATATAGGCAACGGAAGATACACCTTTCCCCTCATCTCAAACCGACTTGAAATTTCGATGTCGGGGATTGCAACGTCAACAACCAATTTGTTTGTATCCCCAACTTGGGATATCTTCTTAACTGTGAAGTCAGATACGCCTTGGACACTCGCGTCAGTTGCAATTATTTTTGCTCTGGTGACGAGAAATAGTTAGCAACAATCAGTTCGATGGTCAATCAGCTGAGGCATTATTCTTTGAAATGACACGGTAAAACAGTCGAGTTTTGGGTATTAATCGAAATTAAGTGTGGGTGAAATGGAGGGCAACACAATGATTCGAAAATGCCACAACCGCATTCGGTACTCAATGTATACTTATTTGTTCCACATACGTAAGAAGGGCATGATTGGCGTCAATCGCTAGTTTATGGACAACTGCTGGGTCGAGAACAGGGATGCTGAAGTCTGGTCGCCCATCTTTCATCATAGCCTTGAAACTTTCCAGAATTTGCATGGCCTGCTCTTCCTGTGGCGTCGGTGTGCTAGTGCTGCAATTAAGAGACATTTCTGTCAAAAGGGAGTTTTATCGGACCCAGGGGTGGGTAAGGTACTCCATCTTCAGTGCCTAGGTAAGGTAGCGGTAGAATTGTAAAATGACTACCTTGGTAGGTAGGTATTAGGTAGTTTACCGAGCTCACTACCTAGGTAGGTATTAGGTACTTCCGTCCGGTACCTAGGTACTTTTTAGGTACTTTCAGGTACCTTTCAGATTTTTTGGTACGTCACAGTTCTGACGATTTCGCGAAATGTACTTAGTATTTTACGTTTCCACTCACTAATACGAAGCATTTTGTAGCGAGTCACTTTACAATAACTTTTTGGGGAGTAGTTTGTTGTTTCTCTGCTCTGTCTCACTCGCATAGCATGTGAGCGAGTTCATCACCCGTTTCCCTATCCGCTAGTAAGAAATCCACGGTCAAGGACACATCAGGAGCTGCACATTGCGTTCGCCTTTTGTGCGTAATGGACCTTGTCGCGGTCCCAAACATGTGGCCTGCAGCCGGGAGGTGGGTGGGGAGGGGGGTCCTCCTTTGTCTATCCGAGTAAGGAGGTTAACCGGGGGCAGCCGGAACGAATTCTCCATACTTTTACTCCCTCCTTGCTCCCTCCACAACACTATGGTGCCAAAACAAAGCCCTCCCGAAAAATATAGTTTGGTGGTGACGCTTATTTCACCCTTTCATCTGGTGGATATAGGTTTTAAAGTACCTTGGAAAGTACCTTCAAAAAGACGGTATAGGTACTCACTTCAAAAAGTACCTAGGTATCGGTAAGGTAGAATCGAATCTTCAGTACCTAGGTAAGGTAAGGTAGCGAGAAAAGTACCTAGGTACTACATAGGTACTGTACTACCTAGGTATTACCCACCGCTGTTTCGGACATGTGACGAGTCCTTCAAATGGCAAAAACCTTCAAGCGGCCAACGCGTCCGAAAAACAAGGACCCTGGTTAAAATAGCCATATCTGTCATGGTCACAATGTGGTTTTGACCATGGAAACCCAATATTTTATACAAGAACTTTGTCTAGACCATGGTGATTACCCATTCCCTTCGTCCCAGCCATGATACTCTGAACTCGACTGACCATGGACACCGACGTAACCATGGACAAGTGGGATATCCACATGATGGTCTAACTTATTGGCCTCTTCTTTAGATAGTGTTGTTCAGACGTGATTACAGTGCGCTATCTCCCAGGATCTCGCGACACTAGCGACCAAATCGTCATTGTAAACACGGGCACCGGTCATCAACCTTCTGGTTGCGTGGTCGGTGCTTCCAAGTCTTTCAAAGTTTTTGTTTTAATTTAAACCGTTGTTGTCACGTACGAACGCTAGGTTGTCGTCAGAATGTTAAGGGAACGCCATGGATTTTTTTTTAAAATTATAAGTGACTGCCGTTTTTAGCTTTCCTGCTCTTTCCGGCAAAACGTCGACTATAACTAACCTAAAACGAGTTTCATCAATAAACCAGTATTCACACTCTATGGATAGTCGAGGTCAGATCTTATATTTAGAGAACAATCGTGGAACTGGTATTGGCATGTCCTTATTAGGTTCAGGTAGGGGGAAAATGAGACATTTCAATAACTTTCGTCTTATTCAGCATTTAAATGGTTATTTGATAAGTATTACTGCGTCTGGTCGATGAAACACAACCCAGTAATGAAATTAAAGCGTTATTTTAGTACCGCAACCTGTGGTGTATGCAGAATCCGAGATAGTATGTGTCTTTTCCCCAACACACATTTCGAGGAAAAATGAGGATTACCAGACATAATGTCCATGATTTAAACGTCCAGAAGTCGAATCGTCCATGAAATTTTGTCCACACCAGAAACACCCAGTATCTTTTGTCCATAAATTCTTTGACCAGGGGCTAGAAGTCCATACCCTAAAATGGTACATTCTACATTGGTCCAATCAATACCCACTCTCGCAGGACCACTATGATGAGTATCGCCACTTTTGACAATACTCCCCCCGCGCGGAGTTGCACTGTTGAGGGTGTCACTGTTGGCCGTTGTTTGGCAAATAAAATTCAAAGTTGATGCACTCATGGCGGAGGCGCCGGCGGGTTGCTCCGCGATTCGTGCCAGAAGTATGGAACACCTATGACGCTGCGCTCGCTGGTGACCAGCGAACCAACAATGCGGTCGAGGGATGGCACAACCACTTTCAACATATGATGGTTATTCGCCATGCCTCTATCTGGAGATTTCTGGAGAACCTGAAGAAAGAGGAGAACGAGATCCACACGCAGATCACTCAGGCTCGAGGTGGTCACACAAAGATCAAGGAGCCTGTGAGCAAGAGGTACGTGCCCAACCAGCGGCAAGTGGAGCGGATCGTCGAGAACTACCAGACCTACAAGGATGGCGGCGACATCCTGAGGGCCATCGGCTACCACCTCAAGGCGGGCGCGGCACCAAGCGACAACCAAGAGGCGCCGGAAGACGCACAGTGAATGTGTGATGAGTGAGGAATATGTGATGATACAGGAATTGTGATTTTCAATTACAATAAACAAGGTAGACGCACGTTAAAACCGTGTGAAGCTGAGCTAAATGTGCGTCTACCTTGGCCTGCGGCGCGCTAAAATT